GGAGAAACCACACACAGGAGCATCCAGCCCGGCATTGGCAACGGGCGGCTGCCGCCGAGCAACATCACAGGGGGCGCAGTCCCAGGAGACCCGCCACATCGCCATCCCACGAGCGCTTCAAACCACGGCGCAATGGCTGGGGGCCGCGCCAGAGCAGAGGGAACCGTGGCAACAGGTGCCGTTACGTTACCACCCGGAGAGGACACAAGAGCGATGCATGACGGAAGCGGCTGCGTTTCTACTCTACCACGAGCGGCCGCGGACACAATGGCACAACACGACACATGGCAGCACGGTGCAGCAAAACTGCGCGTGTGCATGAGCGCGTGGCCAGCACAGCACATCACAGCACTTCACAGCACACCGCAGCAGCACAGCACACCAGAACACAGCACATCACAGCACCCCCCCGTTGACGTGTGTGTGTGTGTGTGTGTGTGTGTGTTTTCGACGGCCTCTCGCTGCGTGCGGGAACGCGACGCCAAGAGAGTGTGTGTGTGTGTGTATGTGTTAGTGTGAGTGTGTGTGTGTTGTGCCCCTGTTGCACGTCCACAGGAGCAGTCGACCTCTGCCCAGCCGCCCACGCAAAACATGTGTTTTGTGTGTTTTGTGTGTGTGTGTCTCCCGGACGATTGGATGGCGGTACTTGTCGCCCGGGTGTGCGCGGCACCCGACCAATTCTCGCAGTACTGGGGAGGGCGCCGGGCGTGCGCGGCACCTGACCAACTCTCGCAGTGCCCATTTTCTCTTCCCCCTCCTCACCCACTGGTTTAGGGTTTAGGGTTTAGGGTTTGGGGTTTAGGGTTTAGGGTTTAGGGTTTAGGGTTTAGGGTCTAACAGGGCAAGGCCAAGAATACCTACCTGCATAGGCACTCACCTGCGGTGGCTATCAATCCCCCCCGCATCTCCACCCCCCCATAAAGATCATCTCTCCTCTCATGTTATACCCTAACGAGCGGGTCGGGCGGGCGGGACCCTAACGGGCGGGTCGGGCGGGCGGGACCCTAACGGGCGGGTCGGGCGGGCGGGAACCCTAAATCCTCACCATGCACCTATCTCACTATACAAAAGCCCGTGGGAGCCTGCAGGAAGCACTCGGACCCCAATGGAAGCATCTGGGAATCACTAACATCCAATTGGAACCCGGCGACATCTTGGGTACCTCTGGGAGGAACTAGTAGCCCCTGGAACTCCTGTGAGCTCCTTGGGGCAATGGACTCCAGCACAGACCGCGGGAGCCCTTGGAAGCTTCCCGAAGCCCCTGAGAGCCCCTGAGAGCCCCTGGAAACCCCTGAAACACATTAAGCACAGGGGACGCCTTGGGAACATCTGAGAGGCCCCGTCTTGGCGGTCTCATTGGCCGTCTTGGAGCCCTCTTGGGATATCTTGTCAGGGTGGGGGGTCCTGGGCTCTCTTGAGGCTGTCTCAGGCCCTTCTTGGACTGTCTTGGGTTGTCGTGAAGCCGAACTATATATGATTCACAGTTCGACATTGGTCTCCATCTTGATGCATTCTGTTGTTTCGGCACGCTTGGTGTTATGCGACAGCCACGCTAGAAGCTGAGGTTACTCAGATGATGTGGAACTCGCCTTTTGTAATCTATGTTATGCTGGCATAACATACGAGAGGCGTGGCATAGCACATCACGTTCACACTATTGCGATTTCTATCTCATGGTCTTTGGCATGACATTCCATTGGACTGTGTTATTATTTCTACCATGTCCAGTGTTGTCTATGTCTCATTTTCTGTGCATATGCGCATGCGATGTTTCGATCTATTTCAACGGCGTGTCTCTTCTCAGGCGGTTGTCCTCTGCTATGCTCTGCTTCAACCACTCTATACTTCGATTTTCATAGATGTTTTGGTTGTGAGGTCACTCTATGACGTCAGTTCACTTATTGAATCGCTTCGCTCATTCCGCCGGCCCATCGTGTAGCGTCGCTGGCACTTGCTTGCGTGTTGGGAGAGGCATGTGGGTGAACTGCAGACGCCGCTTTGGGACCTCTTGGGGGCCTCCTGAGGGTTTGTTGGGAGCCTCCTGGTGCCTCTTATAGTCCTCTTGGGGCCTCGGGGGGACTTCTGAGGGCCGAGGGCTCGAATTATTGTTTTGTGATTCCCCCCTGGGGCCTCTCTTGTGGTGTTCTTGGGGCCCTCTTGTGCCGTCTTGGAGTTATCGTGGGCCGTCTTGGAGCCGTCTTGATGACTCTGCCATGCGGCTGTTGATGAGGATGTTGATGATGATGATGCGATGACGTTGATGATGCTGATAATGATGATGACAATGATGATAATGATCATAATGGTGATGACGATGATGATGCTGATGATGATGATGCTGCAGATAATGATCATCATGGTGATGACGGTAATGATCATAATGGTGATGACGATGATGATGCTGATGATGGTGATGATGCTGAAGATTGTGACAAGCTGTCTAAATGTGAATGTTTGCACCTCGTTTACTTACACATTGTCCCGCCGCTATGCTATAGTAGTACCGCATAGGTCTCCAAAAAGTTGTCACATCTATGTGCGCGCAGTCTTTTATTCCTACTTGCCATGTGCCATGCTGTGCTATGCTATGCTATGCTATGCTCTGCTACACCATAGGTTCCCCAGTTTTTGGGAAACTATGCTTTGCCATGCTGTGCTATGTTATGCTATGCTATGTTATGCTATGCTGTGCCACACCATAGGTCCCCCGCTTTTTGGGAAACCTCTGCTTTGCCATGCTGTGCTATGATATGCTATGATATGCTATGCTATGCTATGGTATGCTACACCATAGGTTACCCACTTTTTGGGTAACCTTTGCTTTGCCATGCTGTGCTATGCTATGCTATGCTATGCTATGCTACACCATAGGTTACCCACTTTTTGGGTAACCTATGCTTTGCCATGCTGTGCTATGCTATGCTACACCATAGGTTCCCCACTTTTTGGGGAACCTCTGCTGTGCCATGCTGTGCTACGCTATGCTATGCTATGTTATGCTATGCTATGCCACACCATAGGTTCCCCACTTTTTGGGGACACTCTGCTTTGCCATGCTGTGCTATGCTATGCTATGCTACACCATAGATTACCCACTTTTTGGGTAACCTATGCTTTGCCATGCTGTGCTATGCTATGCTATGCTATGCTACACCATAGGTTACCCACTTTTTGGGTAACCTATGCTTTGCCATGCTGTGCTATGCTATGCTATGCTATGCTATGCTACACCATAGGTTCTCCACTTTTTGGGGAACCTATGCTTTACCATGCTGTGCTATGCTATGCTATGCTATGTTATGCTATGCTATGCCACACCATAGGTCCCCCACTTTTTGGGGAACCTCTGCTTTGCCATGCTGTGCTATGCTATGCTATGATATGCGATGCTATGCTACACCATAGGTTACCCACTTCTTGGGTAACCTATGCTTTGCCATGCTGTGCTATGCTATGCTATGCTGTGCTATGCTACACCATAGGTTACCCACTTTTTGGGTAACCTATGCTTTGCCATGCTGTGCTATGCTATGCTATGCTATGCTATGCTATGCTATGCTACACCATAGGTTCCCCACTTGTTGGGGAACCTATGCTTTGCCATGCTGTGCTATGCTATACTATGCCATGTTATGCTATGCTATGCCACACCATAGGTTCCCCACTCTTTGGGGAACCTCTGCTTTGCCATGCTGTGCTGTGCTATGCTATGCTATGCTATGCTATGCTACACCATAGGTTACCCACTTTTTGGGTAACCTATGCTTTGCCATGCTGTGCTATGCTATACTATGCTATGATATGCTATGCAACCCCATAGGTTACCCACTTTTTGGGTAGCCTATGCTTTGCCATGCTGTGCTATGATATGCTATGCTATGCTATGCTATGCTATGCTACACCCTAGGTTCCCCACTTTTTGGGGAACCTATGCTTTGCCATGCTGTGCTATGCTATGCTATGCTATGCTATGCTATGCTATGCTACACCATGAGTTCCCCAGTTTTTGGGGAACCTATGCTTTGCCATGCTGTGCTATGCTATGCTATGCTATTCTATGCTATGCTACACCATAGGTTCCCCACTTTTTAGGGAACCTATGCTTTGCCATGCTGTGCTATGCTATGCTATGTTATGCTATGCTATGCTACATCATAGGTTCTTCACTTTTAGGGGAACCTGTGCTTTGCCATGTTGTGCTATACAATGCTATGCCATGCTATGCTATGCCACACCATAGGTCCCCCACTTTTTGGGGAACCTATGCTTTGCCATGCTTTGCTATGCTATGCTATGCTATGCTATGGCATGTGTCCTTCAAGATGGGCCTATGTCCGTTTATGCATGAGCCCGCTTCCGTGCTGTCTGTTTTTCGCTCAGCGTCTATGAAACAGAAACACAACATTGGTGTTGTAGATATGCTAATATATCAACCCAGCCATCAATACGCCTAGCTCACTGTGGTATCGCATGGCATAGCACAACATGTTTACCTACCTGGTGGGGTCCCCGTGCGCTGGGCTTCATCTTGTGGCCTCTGTCTATATGCTCCTGTGCTTACGCCGCGGCTGTGGTATAGTTTGGGAATTCTCTTTTGGCCTTTGCTATTCTTGTGGCATTCGTATCTGTTACTGACTGTCATAGTGCTGATCTTCTACAAGTTGTTCATTTCTCTATACTTGTGACTGGACATGTAGACTATGCTTACAACCACATTTGCAGGCATACTATCGTTTCTTTTTACGTCTGGACGCCTCAGCGTATTGTGTTCTTGCTATTCTGGAAGAATGAGACAGCATGTAAGCTGTTGTTTTGTCCAAGACTCTCCATCCGCAGCAATTCTTCGGCCAGGTACGCAGCGGGCCTGTGCGGTTCGCGCCGGTCGGCTGCCGGTGTGTTGCCTATCGGGACACGCAATGTCATGTCGGAAGCGCCCAGCGTCTGCGCTTTCGGCGCCCCCGCGCATTGATGACGTCCGCAATCATGTTCACGTTGTCAAGGACATCATGAATGACTTCCCAGATTGGGGCTATAGGCGGGTCGGCGCTCGGCTCGGCGAGCTCCTGGGGGTGAGCTTGCAGGAGTCCGACTATCAAGCTGTCCTGCGGCTGCAGAAGGCTGAGCCTAATGCATCTGAAGCCAATGGCCATGGTTGGTCAAATTTCTCTGGGAACGTGCGTGATCACGTGGATTCTATCCAGGAGCTCGTTGTCTCTCATCCGGAGTTGGGGTACAGGGCTATCGGGGGCAGACTGGAGCAGAGGCTCGGCGTGAAGCTATCCTGCGCGCACCTTGCGGTTGTACGACGCATCATGACCGAGCTGTCGGAGGGTCGCGCGGCGGTGGTCGAGCTGGAGTGGGACGAGTTCTCCGACGACGTGCGGGAGCACGTCGACTCTATCAGAGCACTCGTTGTGGCTCACCCTGGCATGGGCTACAAGGGCATTGCGAAGGAGTTCGAGCAGCACATCCGGTTGAAACTATCCCCTGCCCACCTGAGTGTCGTGAGGTGCATCGTGGAGGGCATCTCGCAGGGCCGTGCCGTGCTGTGCCGGGCGCGCAGCGGGAGCCGGAGAACTATGAGGCTGTCGCTGTGGACGTGCGCGACCACGCTGCCACCATCATGGAGCTCATGACGCGTCACCCGGCCATGGACTATCATGGCATCGCACACGAGCTTCAGAAGGTGCTCGGGGTGGAGCTATCTGAGAGCCAGAAGCAATGCATCCGTGCTGTCATGGCCGAGATCAGCATCGACCTCGTGGCTGAAGATGTGGCTATGCCAGAGCAGGCCGACGTCGACGATATCTTTCCCGGCGACGTGCGTGAGCACGTGGACTCTATCAAGGAGCTCGTGGCCTCTCATCCGGAGTGGGGGTGCAGGTCTATCGGGCGCAATCTGGAGCAGAGGCTCGGCGTGAAGCTATCCACCGCCCACCTGCAGGTTGTCCATCGCATCATGATCGAGCTGTCGGAGGGTCGCGCGGCGGAGGCTCCGCGCCAGGAGTGGGACGAGTTCTCTAGCGACATGCGGGAGCACGTCGACTCTATCAGAGCACATGTTGTGGCTCACCCTGGCATGGGCTACAGGGGCATTGCGAATGAGTTCCAGCGGCATCTCCGGGTGAGGCTATCCCAGGCTCATCTGAGTGGTATCAACCGCGTCATGGCGGGCATCTCGCAGGGCCGTGCTGTGCCGGGCGCGCAGCGGGCGCGCGCGGATTGTGCGGAAGGAGCTGTGGACGTGCGCGACCACATTGCGACCATCAAGGAGCTCATGATGCAAGACCCCAGCATGGACTATCAGGGCGTCGCCCATCAGCTTGAGCAGAAGCTGCAGGTGGAGCTATCCGATGCTCAGAAGCAGGCAATCCGCGGTGTGATGGCCCAGATCGGTATCCAGCTCGTGGCTGATGATATGGCTATGCCAGATCAGACGGATCTCGAGGTCTTCTCCGGGGACGTGCGGGAGCACGTGGATGCAATCCAGGAGCTCGTCGCTTCTCATCCGGGGCTGGGGTGCAGGGCCATCGGGCGCAAGCTGGGGGAGCAGCTCGGCGTCAAGCTATCCTGGGCCCACGTGCAGGTGGTCGAGCGCGTCATGAGCGAGCTCTCCGAGGGCCGCGCCGCCGTGGGCGTGTCTATGCGACAGCAGACAGAGCGCCAGAACTTGCCGCACTTCGCGGGGAACCTGCGGCAGCACGTGGATGACATAAAAGAGCTCATGACGCTGCATCCCACCGCAGGCCGGCATCACATCTCCCGCCAGCTGGAGATTCGGCTCGGGCAGGTGCTATCTGCCCGCCACGAGTCGGTCATCCGTCGCATCATGATTCAGCACGGTTCTCTGTCCTATGAGTTCCTGAGTGGCGATCAGGAGGCCCCCGTTGTGCAGCGACTAGTCCAGGGTCATGCGGAGGCCGCGGCGCGGCGCAAGGCTGTGCAAGATAACTATGAACGTGGTGTGTCCCTGGCGGTGCTTCGGCGCTGGATGTCTGAGCACTATGCGCCCGATGCTGGCGAGCGCCCTGTTCGGCGTGTCTGGAAGGGCTGGGGCTGGGCGTTTGAAATTGTTTTTCGTTGGTCGCAGGGTTATCTATGAATGTAGCGCTTGTGTCATGATGCTATCGTCTCTTAGGACCTGGCTAATCTAGCATCTCTCGAGGGCACCCCTGGGGCTATCCTCATGAATACTGTGTTTCTAAGGGTTTGGCATGTCTATTCCGCGTCCAAGCCAGTGTGGGGCCCGATGCTATATTTGAGCAGCGTGCTTTCGCGCGTATGGTTGGTCTCTGAGTCTATTGTTTGGCATCCGCAGGACAAGTACGTGGACTGCGCTGCTACCTGCTGGGCTCGGCGCGTGCGTGCGAAGACAGACGAGGACCAGGCTCTGCAGGCTATCATCAAGTCCGCCCACCGCGAGGCGGTGCCGCTCTGGATGCTGGGGGAGGCGCGCCACAGGGCAGCCACTATCCGTCGTCGGGATGCGGAGCGTCGACGGGAGTTCTCGGCGGTGTGCTATGGCGCATTGCCGTGTCGTACTGCGCTTCCCTCTGGGTGACGTGGCGCTGCGCTGCTTCAGGGCTATCGCTTCTTCATCGCCTACGAGAACTGGGTCTCCTGCCAGCAGTGCGGCTATCGGTGGCAGGTTCACAAAGGAAAGCTTTCTGGGGAGAGGTTGGTCTATGGTGACACGCTCCGCTCAGACCGTGTCAGTCGTCTCCCTCGAGTCCTCGCCTGTGGCGACCGGGGCTATGGCACCAGATGCTCTCTCCCGTTGGAGGCGCTCCTGTGGCCTCTGCCCGCGGAGATCGAGGCGGGCGTCAAGACCGAGCAGCTCTATCTAGTGCCGCAGAAGAACCATTGGCCAGTCTATCTGCCTGGTCTTCAGCGGTTCGTGACTGCCTATGACTTCGGTCCGCGCCTCGCGGCCATGCGCCAGGCGATGCGAGAAGGTCCCGTGGGCCTCATGGATGTGGGCGAGCTGGAGGCCTTGGTGCAGGAGTATGCCGTCTATGGAGATTTCGTGAGGGAGCACTGCACGGAGGGCATCGTAAGCCTCTTGGACATCGCGAAGGACGAGGCCGCCACCATCACGCCGTTCCTGCTCTTCGTCACGAAGCAGAGGGAGCGGGGCTCTGTCACCAGGGGGCCTACCTATAACTGGAAGAAGACTCAGGTGTGCCGGGTCAACTACAAGCGTGAGGACTTGGACACGTGTGGTGCTATGACTCCCCGGGCGCGTGCTGCGTATGACTGGCTCATGGCGCACAACCGCACCTATCGGCGCTACGTCATGCAGCACAAGCGGGAGCTGGCCGCTCCTGCGGAGTACCGGGAGATGTTCATCGCCACCTATCGGCTGCTCATCCAGAGTCGGGGCATTGAGGTGGCGCTCTACCCTGTGCTCTATCCCTGGGAGGTGTACGGCGACAGCGACGTGAGCAGCTGGGCCAAGGACCGCCAGCTCGTGAAGAAGTCCCAGCTCCCGACTATCAAATCCAGCTTCCTTCGGAAAGTCCATTCCCGCTGCCGGACTTATGGCGACGCGGAGGCCGTGCTGGACCTTGCCTTCCTGCTCTATGACATGGCAACCGCGCAGCGCATCTCCGCCAGCATTGCTACCGCGGAGCGCCAGGGCATCACGCCGGACGTCGTGGCGGACAACAGCTCTACGTCCGAGAGCTATTGGCGTCACGAGCAGGACCTTCCGACGACGACGACGAGTGATGACGAGTGACGACGAGTGCCGACGAGTGACGACGAGTGACGACGCGCGACGACGAGTGACGACGTGTGACGACGAGTGTCGACTGTGCTATGCCATGCTATGCTACACAGTGAGGTAATATTAGGAGACCGCTGTGCTATGCTACGCTGTGCTATGCGACGCTACACCATGAGGTTTTCAATTTCATGGGACGCATGCCATGCTATGCTTATGCTATGCTATGCTGTGCTATGCTATGCTATGCTACACCATGGGTTCCCCACTTTTTGGGGAACCTATGCTTTGCCATGCTGTGCTATGCTATGCTATGCTATGCTATGCTACACCATGGGTTACCAACTTTTTGGGTAACCTATGCTTTGCCATGCTGTGCTATGCTACGCTATGCTATGCTATGCTATGCTACACCATAGGTTACCCACTTTTTGGATAACCTATGCTTTGCCATGCTGTGCTATGCTATGCTATGCTATGCTGTGCTATGCTATGCTACACCACAGGTTCCCCACTTTTTGGGGAACCGGTGCTTTGCCATGCTGTGCTATGCTATGCTATGCTATGTTATGCTATGCTATGCCACACCATAGGTTCCCCACTTTTTGGGGAACCTCTGCTTTGCCATGCTGTGCTATGCCATGCTATGCTATGTTACACCATAGGTTCCCCACTTTTTGGGGAACCTCTGCTTTGCCATGCTGTGCTATGCTATGCCAACGACCGGCGACTATCATTATCATGAGTAACGACGAGTGACTTCGAGTGACGACGATCACGTCCACGACCACCACGGTGACGACGGCGACGACGACGACGACCATCAGCAGGGCCTCCTATGCAATGTCGTGCGTCAGCACGCCCAGCTTCGGGGGCAGCGGAGGGCTTTCCCCAACCTGTTCATCACTATCGCTCCGGCGGAATGGAAGGTCCTCCTGCACGAGCCGCTATTCGCCGACTGGAAGGCCGCGGACCGCATGTCGGCGTGTCAGGGGATGCTGTCCGAGCACATCTATGACCTGCTTTACGATGGGATGAAGCAGATTCTCCGCCCGAGCGAGTTCTTCGAAGAGGTGTTCGACTATGTCATTCGCCTGGAGTTCCAGGGCCGCAAGACCGAGCACATCCATATTGCAGCGTGGGTGCGCCCGAAAGGGAATCTATCTGGCCGTAGCGGCCAGGCGGATCGGACTGCCTTTGTGATGTTCTTGGAGGAAGTGTTCCGCGGCTCTGTGGACGTCCAGGAGGGCTATGGGTTTCTGAACTACATCAACGGCTACGTCGTCAAGGGCAACCAGTCTATGGATTATCAGCCTGACGCCGCGCGAAGCGCCGGAGACGAACGCTCGGCGTGGCGCACGACCTATCGTATGCTGTGCAAGCTGGCGCCGGGACTGCCGGAGGTCTTCCTGGATTTTGCAGGCGCCAAACACATGTATCGTACGTTCGGTGTCGTCAACGCGTACGCTATCATACCAGGGCAGGATGACAAAGGCAGCAATGACACCAAGCGGCTGTATCGTCAGTATCTATTGCGGACCCCCGTCGGTGATGGCCCGAAGCCGTGTGGCAGCTTTCTGAGCTATCTCCGTACCTACAAACTGTCGGAGGACCACCAGAAGGTCATCGAGCGCAGAGGGCGCGGGGACGACTCCCGCGTGGCGGTGGGCGTCCGCTTTGCATTCGAGATGCAGGACAATTTCATCGGCCAGTTCTGCACTATGATGTTCCCGCACGGAGACTCCGGTACTTTTGCGCCGCCACAAGGGGATCCCGAGTTGATCCCTTTCACGAAGCACTATCTGAAGGCAGTGAAGTATCTTCAGCACCTCGCGTGCATGACGGGCACGCGTCCTTCTTGCGAAGAGTCTATTCGCCAGCGGGTGAAAGAGATGGTGCCGCAGGAGGAGGGAGAGGCAGAAGAACGCTATCGCCTCCGCGTTCTGGCGAAGATGAAGAGCACCCGCTGGGTTGGCTTCGCCAGGAAGGCCACGTCTATCGTCGAGCTGTTCGATGCGCCCGTCGAGACTATCGCTGACCGTCTCCATGAGTACAGCTGGGAGCCCTACGACGGTTGGCCTTGGCTCCCTCCCTCACGGTCCTCCGACTCCGAGGACATGCCTATGCGCCCTGGAGATCAACTGTTCCATCCTCTGAGATGTGCTGATGATACCGAGGGCGCCTATGGTAAGCCCTTCCACGGCGTTGACGCGGCGCTCGATTATTTCGAGGACGTGGTGGCGGCGGACCTGCGCATCCGCGTCTTTCCTGGGCGTGCAAGGTCGTTCCGAGCGCGGCTCCATGCCGTGCACTGCTACTATAACCACATGCAGCACTGCCGCGACCACCCCGACGACATCCCGCTTGATGTCCGCCGAGCAGCAGACCGCCTGATGCACGCTGATTCGTCTATTGACGCACGGTTCGCATACTACAACGAGTACAAACGGCAGTGGAACATCTGTGACGCGCATGCGCGCCCTCGCATCACGTGGTCTGCCGACCAGGAGGAGGTGCTGAAGGTGGTGGATGGTGTGCTATCCAGAGCCGACGCCAACATCGTACAGCAGCAGTTCTACTATGTGAATGGGGAGCCAGGCAGCGGCAAGACGGAGGTCTTGTGCGAAGCTTCCCGCAGGGCCGCGGACGCTGGTCTCCACGTTTTCATTCTTGGTCCCACCGGCACTCTGGTGCACACCTATAAGACCAAGGTGCAGCACGAGAACATCAACGTGGAGACCATACACTCTGCGTGGCACATCTATCGCAGGGCCGATACCGTCGTTGACTATGCGCCTCCGTCGCGCCTCCGCACCTATGACCTCTTCATCATCGATGAGGCGTCGCAGATTGAGGACGACGTGGCTGTGCGCTTGCACAACGGCTTCAGGGAGCTGCCGCAGCGGTCCACGGTCTTCTTTGCGGCGGACTTCCAGCAGCTGAATCCGCTCGGAAGTTCGGCGGCCATGCGGACGTGGATCACGGTCATGACCACCATCTCACTGTACACTATACACAGGACAAACGATGATCGTCTCCTATCTTTCCTGCGGCATGTGCGCCTGAGGCAGCCGCACAGGGGGGTCATCCGGTCCTTCTTCGCCGGGCGCACGTGGGACTCCATCACCCTTGAGCTGGCCGTGCAGAGAGGGATGGCTATCGGCGCTCGTCTGGGGGAGCCCTTCCACTGGCTCACCGTGACCAACAAGGGGGCCGAGGCGATTAATTCGGCGTGTCTATCGGCGTGTGGCTACGACAAGCCTGAGAACCATTCGCCGCTCTGCGGGGACCCCAAGGTTCTATGCTTTCCGAATGGTGTGTCGGTGGATGGTCTGGGGATTGCTTGCCCATGCATCGGCCATGTGTCTCCGTGTTCTATCTTTTGTTGAAGTATATCTGCTACGTCCACTTCGCCGATGCATCGCCCTGTCGCAGTCAGTGTGATCTCTGGGCCAACCTGCCGGACACCATGCGGGAGGCTATCCCAGGTAGCTGGCAAGAAGCGGCGATTCATTGCTCCTGGTGTGGTTGTTCGGCTCACGCGGAACCTCGACAAGGAGCGGGGCTTCGTCAACGGCGCCAATGGCACTATCGATGTTGTGCTGGAGAACAAGTCTATCTTTACGGTGACGCTCACGGGCACCAAGCACCGTCTCCTCGTGCACCCGATCACCGACGCAGGAGATTACTTCTTGCCGTGCACCTATGGCTATGCTACCACCATCCGCAGGGCCCAGGGATCTTCTCTTGGGCTTGGTGCGCTCTATTTTGATCACTGTTATCCGCCGGAGCGGGGCTATGGCTACGTGGGTGCCAGCCGCTTCAGACACGCCGAGCGCATCTATCACTTTGGGTGCATTCGGCGTACGGACTGGCTGCCTGTCAGCATGGGGCAGGATGATCCTGATGAGCAGACTATGAGGTCCACCCAGAGCGAGTCTGATGACGAGTACGGGCCTGGGCCACGGGACAGCGACACGGAGTCCGAGATCAGCACTGTCGCTGATTCTTCTCATCCTTATGATGAGGACGAGGAGGCCCGCTGTGCTATCCTCGAGCACATGTCCGCCTTCTCTGGCGCGGGCGATCTGTCAGCCTTCGCGGGGCGCGGCCTTCATGGGCTCGTTTGACTCTCGTGCCGTTGCGCTGTGGAGTCTTTTGCATGCCTGTACCTTTGCTCCTGCTACCTGTGGCCACGCCCGGGTACAACCTCATCCACTGCTATGCTCCATCCATCCGATGCTCCTATCTCCGTCTGTGCACTCATCCTGTCTCATACTCCAGACTGCTGTCTCTGCCCACGCACGGGCTATTTCAACTACCCCACTTGGGGTATCTGCTCGGCTGCCGTTTCTTTGTGCAGCTTTCTCTATCTTCGGTGCCAGCGTTCCCTATGGGCACCCCGATACTGACACCGAAGCGACTGCGGGGCGGGCTTCGAAAAACAGGTGCTTGGCCCTATGCTTCTCTCTTGCGAGTCACGCTATAACCTGAGCTTCCTATAGCTTCACTTGGAGCTGCAATGCTGTGCTATATTATGGCATGGCCACGTTATCTTAGCGTGGTCCTATAAGCTTAAGTCTACGACCTGCTATGCTGTTCTATATTGTGTCACCCACGCTAGAACATGAGGTTCCCCGGATTTGGGGGAACTTCGCGTCCTTCGTAGGTCCATTGCTATGACTATAGTCACGCTATAATATCAGGTTCCTACAGCATCAGGTTTTACAGTTGGTATGCTGTGCTATATTATGCGACGGCCTTGCTATAACATGAGGTTCCCCAGATTTTGGGGAACCTTGTGTCTTCCATAATTCCATTGCTATGCGATGCCATTTGTGTGGTATAATATGAGTTCCTCATATCTTCGGCAGTTCACGCTATATACAAGATCTGTTAAGCTCCGGTGCTGTTATGATCGTCTATGTTCTGCCATGCCCTTGCTCTGTCAGGTTCCCCTAATTCAGGGGAGCCTTGATCTGATGTAGGTGTTTTGCGATCCCTACGATCTACAACGTGAAATTTCTAAAGCACAAGGTCTTCAAGCAGATACGCTGGGCTGTAGTATGCCTGTGCCACGCTATACTATCAGGGTCCTCCTTATGTATACGACCTGCTATGCTGTGGTATACTATGTCACGGCCACGCTATAACATGAGGTTCCCCAGATTTTGGGGAACCTGCCGTCTTTTGTAGGTGCGTTGCTGTGCCTAAAAAACACGCTGTAATAGCAGGTTCCCATAACATCAGTTTTGAGAGCCGGAATGCTCTGCTATGTTATGCCACGGCGTGGCTAGTGTCTTTCGTATGTCCTTTGCTATTCGATGCTACTCTTGTGCTATAACATGAGTTCTGCATAGTTTCGGCAGATCTCCACGCTATAATATCAAGGTCTTATAAGCTCAGGTGCTGTTATGCTGGTCTATGTTATGTCATGGCGACGTTTCATGAGGTTCCCCTGATTTAGAGACACTTCGCGTCTACTTTGCTATTCCTATAGTCACGCTATAACATGAGGTTCCTATAGCATCAGGTCGTGGAGCTGTCATACTTCGCTATATTCTGGCATGGCCATGCTATACTATCATTATGGCATGGCCATGCTCTGCTACGCTATGCTATGCTACCGCCTTGCTCTGGCATGGTGTGCTACGTGCACGCTATAGGAACAAATGTGTGAGATAGCTTGTGTCTATGCTATGCTATACTATAGTCCTTCTACAACTTGATGCTCATTTATTTTTTTGTTGGCGTGCTTGGTTCTGCTATGATGAGCTATACTAGAACCACGCCAGAACAGTATGTTCCCCTTCTATGCGTCATGTGATGTGTATGTTGTGTGTGTGTCGCTGCAGTTTTGGCTTAGGCGTTTTGATCGAAAGAGGGTCCTGCGAGAGCTCTGTGGGCCGCCTATGCCGTCCTTCTTCCACTCCGGTACTAAGTACTGTCTGTACTGTGAGCGCTGCCATGCAGGGCAGATGGCTCCACGCGGACGTCGGTTGGGTGTGCTGGACAGGCTATCGGCACATGCAAAATCATATGTTCGAGGTGTAGCACCCCACGTGGGCTCGCTATCGTGACAACCTGCGGGTGCAAGATTGCACCGGCTGCGCTATTCACTCCGCGGGCAGCCGTGCTGATGTACGTTCATTTCGAACGATTTGGACTATGTTAGTCGATCGCCTCGCGCCTCTCCATCTTGTCGTTTTCTCATTTGGCTTTCTCTATCAAGTATACTGGGAGGCGCCTATGGTGGCTATGTGCTGGGACATTTTGCGATCGCCCTCGATGCTCAACCGCGCGTCGGCTATGAGAGCCATGGGGAAGCGTGTTTCGGTGATTTTCCAGCACATGCGTTATCGTGATGGAAATCTATGCGCTGGGACCGTTGGACAGCATCCTCTGCGCAACCCTTCCGAGCGCCAGACCCCGCTTGGTACGTTTTATTATCTATGCAGGAACCGTCGAAAGTTTGCCGTTCTGTCAAAGAGCATCGCATACTATCTGGAGAAAGCCGGCACCACCATTTCCGCCGCGCGTATCATGGATGTCATGAAGGATGCGGGGTCCGGCCGCTATCATGACCAGGTCACGTACACGACAGTGCGCTTTGCGCGTTCTATCGTGCTGGCAGATCGGCGTCAGCACAGTGATTCTGTCGACGATTGGCGTGTGTTGCGTTCTATGTCCGGGCACGTCCGCAAACGCATTATGACATGGGCGATTTGGGAATGCGAGACCGCCATTGTTTTCAGAGATGGCATGCGGGATATCCTGTCGCAATCAAATTACAGCTTGCTCGACCTCATTGTCTATACATGTCTCATGCGGTAGCGCTCTGTGCTTCCGCTGCCGCGAACTGCAAGACCAATAGGCTTCTATGCTTTGCAGTCTTTTGCATGCCTGTACCTTCGCTCCTGCTACCTGTGGCCACGCCTGGATACAACCTCATCCACTGCTATGCTCCATCCATCCGATGCTCCTATCTCCGTCTGTGCACTCATCCACTCTCATACTCCAGACTGCTGTCTCTGCCCACGCGTGGGCTATTTCAACTACCCCACTTGGGGTATCTGCTCGGCTGCCGTTTCTTTCTGCAGCTTTCTTTATCTTCGGTGCCAGCGTTCCCTATGGGCACCCCGATACTGACGACCGAAGCGACTGCGGGCTTTGAAAAACAGGTGCTTGGCCTTATGCTTCTCTCTTGCGAGTCACGCTATAACCTGAGCTTCCTATAGCATCAGGTCTTGGAGCTGTCATGCTGTGCTATATTATGGCATGGCCACGTTATACTAGCGTGATCATATAAACTTAGGTCTACGACCTGCTATGCTGTTTTATATTATGTCACGGCCACGCTATAACATGACGTTCCCCGGATTTTGGGGAACCTCGCGTCGTTCGTAGGTGCGTTGCTATGCCTACAGTCACGCTATAATTTCAAGTTCCTATAGCATCAGGTTTTACAGTTGGTATGCTGTGCTATGTTATGCCACGGCCTTGCTATAACATGAGGTTCCCCAGATTTTGGGGAACCTTGAGTCTTCCATAATTCCTTTGCTATGCGATGCCAGTTGTGTGATATATTATAAGTTCCTCATAGCTGCGGCAGTTCACGCTATAATACAAGGTCTTCTAAGTTCCGGTGCTGTTATGTTCGTCTATGTTCTTCCATAACCTTGCTCTGTCAGGTTCCCCTAATTTAGGGGAGCCTTCGTCTGATGTAGGTGTTTTGCTATCGTCTGAACCCTCGTCTTCGTAGATGGTGCTGTTATGTTGTGCTATGTTATGCCATGGCCACGCTACAATGGCAGATCCCCTAATTCAGGGGAGCCTCGCGTCTGACGTGAATGTTTTGCTATCCCTATTGTCATGCTATAGCATGAGGTGTCTATAATATCAGGTCCTGGAGCTGGTATGGTGTAGTATATTAGGGCATGGCCCGCTATACTTTCCGGATAACCTCAGGTCAACGACCTGCTATGCTGTGCTACATTATGGCACGGCCACGCTATAACATGAGGTTCCCTAGATTTTGGGGAACCTGGCGTCTTGCGTCGTTTCTATGATACAGCCACGCCATAACGTGAGGTTCCTATAGCATCATGTCTTCGAGCCGGTATGCTGTGCTATGTTATGCGACGGCCTTGCTATAACATGACGTTTTCTAAATGCTGGGGAACTTCCAAAAACACTTGAGAGCCCCTGAGAGCCCCTGAGAGCCTCTGAAAACCCCTAAAACACATTAATCACAAGAGGCCTTGGAAACATCTGGGTGCTCCTCGACCCCCCCCATGGCAGCCTCTGAGAGCCCCTTCGAAGACAGAGAGCCCCGGACCCGACCGCGATAGCCCCCTGGGAGCCTCCAGGAATACTTAAAACCATTGAAGCCCCTGCGAACCCATGTGATCCCAGCCCCAGCTTCGGAGCCTGTAGAAGCTCCTGGGAGCCCCCCTGGGAACCTGTGAGAACCCCTTAATACACAGGAACCCCTGGCACCGGCCGCGGGAGCCCCGTGGAGCCTCCGATAGCCCTTGACAGCCCGTGCGCCCCTGGCGCTCCGTAGGGCATTGAGAGCCTCTGGGAGATCTATGACATGAGATGTCTATAGTATTAGGTCCTGGAGCTGGTATGGTGTGGTATATTATGGCATGGCCACGCTGTACTATCCGGGTCCTCGAACCTCCAGTCACGACCTGCTATGCTGTGCTACATTATACTACATTATATCGCTGCTGAAAAACAGTGAAAACACATTGTTTTCCAAAGGATTTGGCCATGATCGCGCGGCCGCCGCGCGCGTGTACACTTTATCGTGTTTTTTGCAATGGAATATGCCCATGGACACATCTTGCAAGAGCAGAATGTTAAGTTTGTAGTATGCTTTACAATATAAAACTCCGGTTTACATACCGGGCCGCAACCGGGGCCGGGCACTTTGTATTGTAAAAAACAAGGTTTTCTGATCGCATGATCAGGATATAGTATTTTTTGCAATGGATGAGCCCGGTTCGCGACCTGGACCGGGCACAATGTATTGTAAAAAATAAGGCCACGCTGTATTATCCGGGTCCTTGAACCTCAAGTCACGACCTACTATGCTGTGCTACATTATACTACATTATATCGCTGGTGAAAAACAGTGAAAACACATTGTTTTCCAAAGGATTTGGCCATGATCGCGCGGCCGCCGCGCGCGTGTACACTTTATCGTATTTTTTGCAATGGAATATGCCCATGGACACATCTTGCAAGAGCAGAATGTTAAGTTTGTAGTATGCTTTACAATATAAAACTCCGGTTTACATACCGGGCCGCAAACGGGGCCGCGCACTTTGTATTGTAAAAAATAAGGTTTTCTGATCGCATGATCAGGATATATTTTCTGCAATAGATGAGCCCGGTTCGCTACCCGGACCGGGCATAATGTATTGTAAAAATATGGTTTTCAGATCGCATGATCAGGAAATAGTTTTTTTGCATAAGAGAAAGGCCGACTTACATAGCGGCCGGTTTAGCGGGCTTTAGGGTTTAATAATTATAAGGATTAGAGATTTAGGGTTTAGGGTTTAGGGTCTGTTGCTTCCTCCACTTTCGGCCTTCGGCCCTGTGGCGTTCTGTTCTCTGTCCGTGATGGTGCGGCGAGCGCGCCGACCCTGGCGGTTCTTCCCTCCGCGGTGGTTCGTTTGTCCCCTCCCTCTCTTGGTGGGTCGCGCCGCCGTCGTCGGTGGTGGGTTCGGCCGCGTCCTGGGATCCCCCGCCTTCCTCCAGGTCGTCCCCAAAGCGGGAGGCTTGGCTGCTCTGACGTGTCGTTTTCGGCACGCGTGTTCGCGGGTCCCCTCGCGCCGTTTACGTGTATCCCCGCTTGCCGATTCTCCCCCTCCCCAGTTTTGCCCGTGACGGTTGTGGCCAAGTAGGGTGTCTGGCCTACGGTGCTCGGTTTGCTGTCCGAGGTGGCGCCGCGTTCCCGCCACCCCCTGCGGCGCTTCCCTCCGCGGTGCTCCGTCGATTTCGGATCGACCCCACCGCAGGGGGGTGAGCCTGGTCCGCGCGCTCGCCTGGCGGGCACGTCCGGAAGGTACCCCCCTTCAACTTCCTGCCTCCTCCCGTTTTCTCATTTTCCTTCTCCTCTACGGGTCTTCCTTGGTCCAGTGGGTGACGACAGAGACGTCGGAGCGTACAGTGCACCTCGCACTAGTACCCGTGCTTGTCGATTTACTGTTCACCGCTGCATGGGTACTCCACCAATGAATTCGGTCGGCGCTACTGCAGCGTTTTGGGCCAGCCCGAACGTGTCATTGACACTGGCATATTTTGGTGGCGTGGCTACCCAACAAGGATTGTACGGCATAGCTTCATTAGGTTGGTTTCGGCCCCGCATGTACATGTTTCCACGTGTGTCGCGTGTCTCGGCTCCACCAATCTATGCTGCTTTCCTTGTTTAGGGATTGTGTTAGTCCTCTTGTTTTGTTGGTCTGTAGGTCTGCGCCCTACCAATCTGCTTCGCAGGATCTCTGAGCATGGCGCGGTACCCCGCCAATTAGCTGTTTTGGCAGCGCAAGCAGGTTCTTCGCGCTTTTCTGCCTAACGCCATCGTATCGGTGATCCAGTGGTCGCCAATTCGCACCAGACTGTTCGCGATTCAGTTTACGTCGAATTGAATCGCCTCCTCGATTTCTGGCCCCTGCACGTTTCGCTTGGATTTGCAGCTCCTCCTTCACACCACTTATCGTTGCATTGACAGTGTGCACGCTTTGTGCACTGTGCTTTCGACAATGTTGGATCGCAGTTGGCACTTCCATCTGCTGCTCGCGCCTGAGGATCCTCTGCGCCGCTGACTTAAAACAAGTGTGTGTGTGTGTGTCTGTGTGTGTCTCTCTCTCTCTCTCTCTCTCTCGCCGCGCCTCCGCGCACGTGGCCGCGACGCCAAATTGTGTGTGTGTGTGATCGTTTTTGTGCTCATTTACGTTGTCTCCGTTTCCTCTTCTTGGCACATGTTTGTCCGTCCTTCCCTGGCTCCTGGGGCTGCGTGGGTCCACTGCGCCCTTTCTGCATGCCAGCCCCAGCTGTGGCGCCACAGCTCGCCAGGAGCATCGTGCAGCAGCTGCAGCTGCATCGCGCAGCAAGCAGCTGAGCCACGCCCTGCGGGAAGTTCAGCAGCTGAGAGAAGACCTCCTCGCTCTGCGGGAAGAGCATACTGCTTTGTGTGAAGTCTTGCGCGTGGGCGGCTCAGTGTCCGAGACGTGGATTAATCCATGAGCATCGCCTGGGGGATCGATCTTCGGTGACCTCGGCACGCGGTGGACATGTATATATTCCAGCCCCATGGGCCCCGAACGTATTCATATCTGCCGTCAGCTGGGATCCCATGACGTCGGCTCCACAGGCGGTGGATCTGGATAAGTACATTCCTGCCTCGCCTAGTTCGGATTCGGATAATTACCCAGATCGTCTCACGGATGCCATTCTCATGCGTACATGTTCGTATTTGTTGCATCTTATTGTTCGATTCGGCATTTTTTGTTTGTGCAGGAGCAGCTCTCTGTCCGCGCTGATGAATACGCATTGAGTTTTCCATCCCTGCCGCGCAAGCGTGTGAGAAGGATCTTCCCTGCCAGTCCTGTTGCTGCTTTTTCATCTTGATCAGCTGTCGCCCGTTATTCTGATAGTGGCGGGGACGAGGGTGAGGAAGAGGAAGGAGATGAAAGAGTCGTGCAGGTGCGGGGCGGAAGGCCCGCGCAGCCTCCAAGGCGAGATTCTGCACCTTGGGGCCTGCGTCCAGGCCAAGAGAGGCATCATCTGTTCGGGGTGCGGCCGGGAACCGAGACAGGACCAGTTTCGCGCTGCTATCAATTTCTGCGCCTCCGTGCTCAGATACGCACTGGGGTTTGTCGATCTCACGGCGGTGTCGTTTGAACCCTTCTCTTCAGTCGCTCGGACTTCTGGAACTGATGCGAGCCAGCATCGCAGTGCGCGCCCAAAGCAGGCAGACGCCCAAGCGGCAGCTCGTGAGTTCCTCCACACGGTCATGCAGCATTCCGCCCTGGAGTGACCATGCTCCAGACGGGGGGGCACTCCGGAGCAGGGCCTCAACTTTTGGCGCGTCCTCGCCCTGGGCGGAGGCCGGCGGCAGTACAACGGAGGGTCGGATTTTTAGGCTGAGTGGGTCCTATTGCCCCCTTTTGGTGGCGAGCCCCAGGGGGGAACCGAGAGGAGGCGGGCCTTCTCAGAAGGCTCGGAAGTCCTTCAGCTTTCTGGGAAGTTTTCTCAGCCTTCCCCGAAGACACAGCAAACTTCTGGGAAGGCGCGAGGGCTTCTGGGAATCCCCGCCGCCTTCCGAGAAGGCCTTCTCCTTCTCACTTCCCCCACTCGTTCGTTGCCGATTCTTGGGTTGTTTCTGCCTTAGGTACCCCTTCGGGCCTCTTCTTGCAGTGAGGTTTTGAGTGGTGCAAGCAGCGCCGAGAGATCGGCTGTTTCTGGGCGGGCCACCGCAGGGCCATCATCGTGACGATTCTAGGGGCGAGCTTCGAAGACACAAGGGAGGACAATGGCGGCGGGTCTGCAAGCGGAAGCCCGCGTCAGTTCGGCGGGAGGCGGCGGGAGGAAACGCGAGACGTCAACTTGTGAGGATTCCGGGTTTTCGCAATCGGCTGGATCGCATGCGCCGCTCGCGTGAGGCCGGGTCGGGGCCGGCCCCAGGCTAGCAGGCAGGTGGGACGAGGTCCGATCGCCGAGTGCTGGCCCGTTGTCCCGCGCTCTCGCGGGCTGGCCTCCGCTCGCTGACACGCAGATTGGTTGAGGTCCGACCACAGGTCTCTCGGCTTTGTCTCAATACGGGGTTCCCAGAAGTCCCGACCCTTTTTTCCACAGGGCCTGCTTTTCACCCTGAATGGTTCCTTTGACAGTCCTGTGGCGCGGCGAGGGCCCCCGAAGGCCGAGAGCAGCGACAGAAACAGAGCCCTGCTTTTTTCAAGCCGTTGGTTGTCCGGGTTAGTTTGTCCTGCGCTCTCGCGGGCCAGCCCCCGTTCGCAGGGCCGCTCTGGGAGGCAGGGCGGGCAGGATCCGATCTCCCCGTGGCGCGCGCTCAGGAGAGGGGCGCGCTTTCGCAGGCGGAGCCCCAGGCTCGTTGCGCGGGGGGGGGGCGCGGGGCAGCGTGCAGGCAACGCTCTGGGCTCCGCCCCTTCGCTCCGCACCTTCCTGGGCGTGTCCACCAATTCGTTCTTTTCTAGGCCGGGATTTCCCTCTCCACCAATTCTTCCTCCTCGTGCCTCCCTCCCCACCCTCCCACTCCTCTTCTTCCTCCTCCTCGTCCTCTTCCTCCTCCTCCTCGTCCTCATCCTCCGCCTCCTCCTCCTCGAGCTGGCAATTTCGCACACAAGCTTTTGTACGGTGCTTACCGTGAGCTTCAGGACGGTCGGCTGTCCAACCTGAACTTCAACGAGGGCGATGCCGTGTTCCTGACCAAATGTATTGAGCATAGTGACAATGCTGGGCTCTTTCGTACATCAGACAAGACTCACCCCATCACATTGAGTAACAGCGACAACAACCTCATTTCTGCTGCTCTCAAGTTGCCGATGGGCTATGCGTGTCAACTATCATGCGTCGACTTCCAGCGAGGTTTCGTCAAGAACCGCTTCATGGGTCAGAATTTTGTGCAACTAGAGGGCCACGTGTTCTACTGGAAGGTGCAACACGGCTTTCTGGACGCTGGCTTTACTCTCTTCGATTCTGGGAGCGTCTTTTCGACGCTCGCGCATCATGTCCGACGGAATGTGCAACTTCTTTACACAAGTGTACAGATCTCTGTTTCTTTTGGTGGCGCGCGTGGAGGGCGCTTTCGTCTGAATCGTGGCATTCAACAGGGCTGCCCTCCGTCAGACAGCTTGTTTGCATTGGCCGCCGACCCAGTGCTGAGGATGTTAGCAATCCGTCTGTCCGCTCACGTCTCGATCCTGGGCGCCTTCGCCGACGATCTGGTAGTAGGCTGCGCCGACGTGTTCACCACGCTGGCCACCGCGCTGCCGATCCTGAACTTCAGCACTCGGGCCACTGGCCTCAAGCCCAATTTGAAAAAGACGGTGATCATCAGAGTGATGGGATGCTTTTTCCGAGTGCGTCCAGCAGCGCTTGCTAGACGTGGGCTTCATGCCGTGGTCGTTCTCTCTGTTGCGTTCTGGCAACTACCTGGGCATCTTCATCGGCCACGAGGGCACTGAGAACACCTGGATTGCTCCCACCACGAAGTGTGTCAGCCGTGCTCGGGCGGTAAAACATCTTTCATTGGGATTGGCTAAGAGTACTGTTCAATTCAACTCTGTGGGATTTTCTATGCTGTCGCACGTCATGCAGTACTACTGTCCTTCCCCTGATGCTCTGAGGGCCGTCGTTTTAGCTATACGGAATATCACGCCTGCCCCCCGTAATGTTTTGTCCACGGGAATGTTGACTGATTTGAAAAGCCTCCGCATTCCCTGGGAGTTTCGCCATTTTCAGGGCGTGTCGAGGGCGGCCTTTTATAGGCTTACTTGCACTATCCCAGCCTTTTTTGAAATCCGTGATTTGCTTGAAGGTTTTAGTGATTGTAGCGCCTGTATAATTTTGTGGCGTAGGAACTGGTGGTATAAGTCTAGCATGTTCTGTCATATGTATGAGAACTATTTAGGCTTAGCCATTCCTCAGGTTCCGGTCCGTGGTGAGCGTGAGCTTCAAAAGAAGACTGGGCTCATCCTTCGTTTAGCCCGCTCCTAGCTTGCCATCTCCTGCGTTGCCGACCGTGCCGAACACCACCTCGGCAGGCCCACTGCTTTTCCTGAGCGTAATGCTTCAACTGACGCCGTCAGCCGTGTGTCCCAGATAGCCCCTGCCTGTATTGTTTCTAGTGTGCTGTGTGCGATTTGCAATGCCTGGGCCACCTGCGCTAGGTTTCCAGGGCCCACTCGGACGTGCCACTTATGCAGAAATAGTGAAGGCGGAGACTCACTCCGCCACCATCTCGAATGTTTTGCCCTCCAGCGTGTGTTTCCTCTCTTCCCTCATTTGCCTGCTCGATTTCTGAGTGCTTCAGGTGCCCAGCGTGTCGCGTTTTATCTTCTTATGCCTGCCTCCATGTGTGAGCTCTTTGTCTGCTGCTGCTGCTGTCATCAAGGTCATCTGTTCGGTCTACCACGATAGTGAGGAGACCGCGCTCGCCCAGAGGGAATCTCTTTGCGTCGAATAGCTTCGGCTCGTCTCCAGAAGCAGTTGAGACGGTGGCCTGGGTTACAGGCGCTTCTCCGTTGAGTGCGAGCAGTGAGGCCTCTCGCTTGCGGAAGGATAGCTCCTAGAGGAGCAACGGATCCCTTTTGCCCCTGGACGGGCTCTCTTTCGTCCTTGGTCTTGGCCGCCTGCGTCCTTTTCTTTTTGGGCCCTTTGCTCTCGTCCTCCTCTTCCTCCTCCCCCTCCTCCTCCTCCTCCTCCTCCTCCTTCTCCTCCTCCTCCTCCTCCTCCTCCTTCCCCTCCTCTAGGAGGTCCCTTCTCCCACTCCTATTGGTCCCTTCTCTGGCTCCTACTCCCCCCCTCCTCCTCCTCCTCCTCCTCCTCCTCCTCCTCCTCCTCCTCCTCCTCCTCCTCCTCCTCCTCACACTTCTTGCTTGGCCTCCTGTGTGTGACTTCGTAGGACTCTGCGCAGGATGCCGGGAGGCACTTAGTGGCCCACCCAAACAACCAATTCCGCATGTCAGTTTCGCTGGTATGGGTCAGGATTTTCCACACAGGCTCACCTCATTTATCGCTGGGTCCTTCTCACGCTTCTCCCTCTTCTCCCTTCCTCAGTCTCGCCATACTTCTCCCGCTCCCTGGGCCCATAGGCAAGAAGACGGCTGCGGCTTGGCGTGTCTGGCTCAGCTGCGCCTCTGGTCCCCCCCCATCACCCCCCAGAGCTGATGTGATGGGAGGAAGAGGAAGGAGGAAGGAGGAAGGAGGAAGGAGGAAGGAGGAAGGAGGAAGGAGGAGGAGGAGGAAGGAGGAGGAGGAGGAGGAGCAGGAGGGGGATGATGATGATGATGAGGATGAGGAGGAGGAGGAGAAGGAGGCGTATGAGGAGGTGGTGATTGGTGGAGCAGGAGAAGGAAGAGGATGAGGAGGAGGAGGAGGATAATGAGGGGGATGATGAGGATGATGATGCTAATGGTGATGATGCTGCTGCTGCTGCTGCTGCTCATCATGATGATGATGGGGGTGATAAGGATGGTGATGATGATGCTGCTGATGATTATGACGATGATGATGATGCTGCTGATGATGATGCTGATGATGACGACGATTATGATGATGATGGTGATGGTGATGCGGATGATAATGATGATGACGATGATGATGGTGATGATGATGATGCTCATGTTGATGCTGATGCTGCTGCTGCTGAAGATGATGATGAGGAGGAGGAGTGAGGAGTGAGGAGTGAGGAGCGAGGAGTGAGGAGTGAGGAGTGATGAGTGGGGAGTGAGGAGTGAGGAGTGAGGAGTGAGGATAGATGTGCGAGGAATGAGGAGCGATGGGTGACGAGTGAGGAGTGAGGAATGAGGGGTGAGGAGTTTGTCGTGAGGAAAGAGGAATGAGGAAGGAGCAATGAGGAAGGAGGAGGAGAAAGAGAAGGAGGAGGAGGCGGAGGAGGAGGAGGAGGAGGAGGAGGAGGGGAGGAGGCGGAGGAGGAGGAGGAGGAGGAGGGGGGGGGGGAGGGGGAGGAGGAGGAGGAGGAGAAGGAGGAGGAGGGAGGAGGAGGAGGAGGAGGAGGAGGAGGAGAGGAGGAGGAGGAGGAGGGAGGGGAGGGGGAGGAGGAGGGAGGAGGAGGAAGAGGAGCAGGAGGAGGAGGAGGAGGAGAAGGAGGAGGATAAGGAGGAGGAAGAGGAAAAGGAGGATGAGGAGGAGGAAGAGGAGGAGGAGGAGGAGGGGAGGGATTTGGACGTTAGATCTAGCAGAGGGTTTCGCTCGCGCGCGTAGCCGCCTCTTCTGTGGCCCTCTGGGGTCAAGGCTTCATGCGGGCCAGCATTTTTGGGGTGGGCGGGCGGGGCCATAACTCGCCTGCCCGGCCAAGGCCCGGCCATTTATTCTGAGGGGTGCTGGGTAGTGGCAGGGCCAGGGCCCCCCATCCAGTGCTTGCTGCGACCAGAGGGGTCGCGCGGCCCGCGGTCGGCGCGACAGTGAGGCCCACGCACGACCTCGAGTGCACGGTTGCCATGGCGGTGGGTGCAATGTTGACGTGGCTCGACGCGTCGCTCGGGGTCGGTCTGTATGCCAGCTTCTCCGCGACGGCCACGGTCGGAGGGCTCGAGGACGGCCGCGGTCGGGCAAACCCGGGCGGAGGCGGCTCGGGTGACGATGAGGAGCAGAGGGAGCGGCCCAGTCAGGACGGCTAGCCCAGCTGCTCGAGAAAGGGCGGTGCGACGCCGCTAGCCATCGAAGAGCCTACGGCGAGCCCTGGCCCGCTCTCGGCGGCAGCGACCCTCGCCCTCTTGGAACCCCCAGCCACGGATCCGCCCGCGGCCAGGGCCGACCTGGGCGAGCGCCCTCAGTTGACTGGGGAGTGTGGGTACTACCTCCAGGACTATTGCTACGCGGGCGCCAGGCCAGCAGCAGCGCCCGCGCAGCCCCCGGCCAGCGAGGCCGCCGGGGCAGATCCGGAGCAGGAGGAGGGCGCCACCGCGGGGGGGAGGAGACGCAGGGATCTAGCCCCCCTCCTCCGCTCCCGGGCGAGCCTCCTGACGTTCACGGCCGTGGAGGAAGGCAAGCGGAGCTGGGCGCCCAACATGGCGCCTGGAACCAACGTGGGAGTCCAGTTCAGTATGGCGTGGGTCAACGTCTGGGTCGAAGCGGCATTGGAATGGCTCGGCGAGAAGGTGGGGCGTGCGTTGGGCACGGTGCTACACCAACTCCTCTACTTCCTCATGGGAAGCGTCGACGCCATGGGCAGCTACCTGTTCGGTGGGTGCTGGGCAAAATTGCAATGGGCAGATGTGGGGCTCGTTGCGCTCGCAATGGCCACCGTCTTGGGCCCCGTCGTTAGTTGCGTATCCTGGCTCCTCCGAACGCTTTGTGTGTGTGTGTGTGTGTGTGTGTGTTCATCTCCTTCGTCTTGAGGGTTCTGAGGAGCTTTGCTGGCGGTGGCAAGACAGGGCGCGACGTCCAGGTGGCCTTGGAGGCAACCCGTCTTCAGCTGTGTCCTGGCACGGCCCTTCAGAGGCCGTGGCAGCGGACGAGGCCTACGTGGAGAACGAGGTCCGCGCGAGAGGGGGCATCACCCAGAAGATGTCGCCCAACGAGCTCATCGTGATGTCAGGCGGGTCAGTGGCGCGCTTGGAGCAGGGGCCTGCCAAAGGTAGTCGCCTCAGAAGACGTTCGCGAAAACAGTGGGTTTCCTTGCAACTCGTGCCTCCCTCTCCTTGCCTTTGGCTCAGGGCCGCCTGCGGCCTCTGCACCATCTTTTTCTGGAGGTGGGCAGGCCGGGCCATGGCGCGAGCCCGCTCACCTCTGGGCCGCCTGGCTCGGGCTTATTCCCGAGACCCTCCGCGCCACTTCTCGCGAGGCGCGGGGTTGGCAGCCCGGTCCCGAGCGGGCTCAGCTCGGCGCCGCCGCGCGGCGCCTTCGCGGCGAGGGGCGCCGCGGCGGCGATGCGCCAGGCGGCGCGAGAGGCGCCTGGCGACGCAGGAGGGCAGCCAGGGCCCCCGCGGGTCCAGCTCCACGCTGCAGCGCGGCGCCTTCGCGGCGAGGGGCGTCGCGGCGGCGCTCGGCCGTGCTGCGCGGGGGGCGCCGGGAGGCGCAGCGAGCGAGGAGGATGAGTCCTGTCCACGGCCTCGACGTCTCGTTCGGGGTCAACTGGCATGCCACGGTCCACGCGTCCGCCGCCGCGACCGGGCCCGAGGAGGGGTGCCATGAGCGGGCAGAGCCAGGCGACGAGGGAGATGAGGAGCAGCCGGGCCATCCTGACGACCAGGGCGAGGCCATCTGCTCAGACGCAGGCGGAGACGAGTTGCCAGCGGTCGGGGCGCCCGAGGGGCCACCGCTGCCCGCGGCGCTCCCCGCGCTTGCCGAGCCCCTGGCCACGGGCCTGCCGCCGGCCATGGCCGGTCTTGGCGGGCGCTCCGCCCGCAGTGGTCAGCGCTCCAGCGAGTGCTACTGCTACGGCTACTGCTACGACGCCCCCGCCGCGCAGACGGAGGCGAAGCCGCGTGAGGAGGCCAGCCCAGAGGCGGCGCCCGCGCCCCGGCCGCCCGTCTCAGACGCCAGCGCCGCGGAGACAAGCGGAGCACCCCTGACTGGAGGCGCGGGGGCGGGGAGGGAGGCCCCAGGGGGACCCCCCCCCCACCGCCGCCGCCCGAGGAGCCCCCGAGCGCGGGCAACACGACCAGGGGGGAGAAGGCTACCCAGGCGGTGCCGGGCCCTCCCCCAGACACTGCCGCATCAGCCTCGCCCATCGGACTGGCTCGGGTCAACGCGTGGGTGGAGATGGTGTTGAAGTGGCTCGGCGAGAAGTTAGGCCATGCCCTTGGCGCCCTGCTTCATCAGCTGATCACCTTCCTCATAGGCTTGGTCGACGCGATGGGCAAGTATCTTCGGCGCATTCTGGGCTAGGCCACAGTGGGCACCCATGGGGCTCGTGGCCATTGTGGTGGCTATGGTGCTAGGGTCTGCGCTGGGTTTCCTGGCCTGGTTCGTGCGCGCGGCGAGGGCGTGCGCCTCGGTCCTCATCGGGGCGCTGAAGGGGTTCGCTGGCGGCACGAGACGGGGCACGACGTCATGGAGTCTCTGGGCGGTGACCCCACGGCCGCGCTCGCATGGCATGGGCCGAGCGAGGCGAGGGGGGTGAACGAAGACTATATCAAGGGTGAAGTCCGGGCGCGCGGAGTAGGAGCAAAGAGGATGATGCCCAGCGACCTCATCGTCAAGTCTGGAGGCTCCGTCGCGCGGCTTGAGCAGGGGCCCCATCAGGGGCGGCTGTGTCACTCGTCACGTGTACGTCTACAAGTTCAAGGGCGTCAAAGGCAGCTCCCACCGCCATTTGAAGACCGACCTGGAGGCTACTAGGGGCGACGATGGTATTGGCCAGGTCCACCTGTGCGCGGCATCCCCATGCACCCTCCCCGAGGTCGACAGGCCGATGTTGCGCGTCAGCTCGTCGTGCGTGGTGAACCACAGAGTCAGCGCGTCCGACTTGGCCGAGCTCACCCCAGCGGAACGGGCGAGGGCAGATGTACCGCGCCTGGGGGTGCCGAGGGGCGGGGCGAGCGTGCTGTAAGGCGTTCGGCTGCTGCTGGAAGAAACGCTGGAGGCACCCGACGCGCGGGCAGAATCCAGGCAAGGTTGAGGAGATGGACCCCAACTCGGAGATTGAATCGGAGCCCAGCGTCGACGTTTGCCAGGCCGATCAGATCGCGTGCATGACCACGGGGGGCACGCAGGTCCTGCGCGCCAAGTGCTGTCGGGATGCCGCGAGGCAGGGACGCGGCGATCTCGGATGTGCGTGATGCCCCAGAGGAGTCAGGCTGCCCCGAGGAGATGCGCCCGCTCTCGCTGCCACCGCGAGAAGACTGTCGAGGAGGACGGCTTCTCCCTCTGTGCGGTCCACGCTGCGGATCGAACGGTAGGCTGGCGCAGCCGCTCGGGCGCGCCGCAGCCGGAGGAGGATCGGCAGGCCGGCGCCCGCCGCTCAGACAGGAGGGGAGCCAGGAGGCTCGACGGTCAGCCCTCTGGCGCTGCGGCCAGGAGGGGCAGCCCGGCCAAGGCAGATTCGGGATCGGCCTGAGGCTGGTCCACGTGCGAGACACTCTGGCGGACACCGATGCCGAGTAGGGGGCATGCTACAGCTCCCCCGCGCGCTGTGTCGGCCCCGCCAAGG